ATAACATATATATAGGATCCACATAAATAAAAGTTACTTGGGGTTTTAAGAACGTAAAGGAACCTCAAACATTTGAGAACTACTGGTATAAACAATATTATTTGAATTAGATACTATTGGTTCACAAAGGCCAGCAAATCCAGGCCCACTTTCTGTTAATAGGGAAGTTAGAAAATGTTTGGGAGGTGTTAAAGGCATAATAGTACCAAATTGAGACTTTATTCTTGATATAAAGAAAGATTAAAAGACAATCAAAACAAATTATTTTTCTCACTATATAATTGTTATTCAATTCCATATGCATATAATTTCTGTGAAGATCCAGAGTATCTTAAGTATTATTTCTCTCATAAATTATGGATATGATGACAGTTTTTGGGGATGTCCCTTACTCTTTTTTCCTTTTTCTTTCACCTTTTTTATAATCTTTATACATGTGTTTATTGCCACTGTTTTTCTATCTTCATTGCTGTAAAACTTGGACGAATACGGTCTTTTCAATCAGATTCTATTGGATGATTCAATAACATGTTGTGTGATAATAGCTAAATTCTAACTATGGCTAATATAAACTGCATTTTTCAACCAGCATATAATATACACATGCAGTCCAAGTCCTAAATTTAGTTGGCTAACAAATGTCCAAAGCTTGATTGATGCTAACAATGTCTGGGCAATGTTCAGAACTCATATTTTTTGCTTCCAGATTTTGTTTTTCATCCTCATTTTGGTGAATGCTCATTTTGGCTTTCACTTCTAAAATATGTGTGACAGCACACCAACATTAGTTATTTGTGCCAAGGGGGAAGAATGGGCCAAAATTATTATTTTCTTAATTGAGTTGAGGTGACACTGAGAATATTTTACTTGTAAATTTTTATTGGATTGAACTCCATGAGGCTTCCAAATTGTTTTGTTTTAATCTAATTCAATTGTAATGAATATGTGGCTAGAAATAACTTCCACTTTGAGTCTGGAAATAGTCCAAAGGACAATCAACTTTTCTCTGTAGAAAGTGAAAAATATATGCAAGAAATACAGTGGGAACAGAGTAGGCTTCCTAACATGAACACATAATATCTATGAGAAGACACTTGTATGTCTTACTCTCTACTGTATCTCCAGTACTGAACATCATGTACCACATATGATGGGCACTAAATAAGTAATTGCCTAATGAATGAGCATTCTTAGTTAATTCTCTATATTGCTGAGTAGGTAGATGGTGAAGATTTGGAAATTTAAAGGTACTTGCTATTTACTGATAGAACAAAGAAATATGAAGATCTCAATTAATACTTAAGATTTTCTTCCTTTCTGTAGAACATTCCCCTTGCAGTATAAGGCCAGAAAAAAAAAATCACTCTGGAGGGTTGTTATTAATTTTAAGTATGTTGATTATTTATATAAAACTAATTTCTGGTATAACTATGAATAATGGTTCTTGCCTTAAATCGGGGAATTATTTATATTTTCAGGTCATCTTATTGGTGCTTTTTCATTTTTTATTCAGTGTGTCTTATTACAAGGAGGAGACCAAGGCTTAGATTCTAACTCTTCCACTGTTTTCCCTCTGTGCTCTTTAGCAAATCACGTAACTTCTCCAATTTCAGAACTTCTCCTATGAAATGGGGATTAAAAGCTAATTGATATGGTGGAGATGAACATGAAATTTAGCGTAATAGCCATCATTCAGGCATTCGGTATTTATTCAGCTGCCCAATACTGGGTACTGGGGATACACTTGTGAGCAAAATAAACATTTCTGCCTCAGTGGCACTTATAGACTGGAGGAGTAGATGGGCGTTAATCAAATAATCACATAGATAATCAGCAATATACAGGATGCTGTCAAAAAGCATTACAATACACACAGGTCCTATTAATAATTAACGTATAGGAAATACACAATATTTATTTAT